GGTCTTTTTTCTCCGTTATTCGCTGTTTCTTTGAAACGGATTCACACACACATATGTACATATGTGTGACCAGATCAGTTTTCTTCGTATTCAGCATTGCACGGCGCGTGCCATCATTTCTAAGTCGCAGTTGTTGTGTCGTGTAGTGAAAATTAAAGTTTAATTGCTGATGCCGCGATCTCATCAGAAACACAAATCAAAGATAGTGAAGTGCTAAAATAATTAATCTGGATCGCGATTCTTACACGTTATTGGGTGAATAATTCTGCAATAAATTTGTTTTAGGCTTTATACCCACGCTTGATATATATGTATGTACATGTGTTGGTATGCATGTACATATGTATATATGTATGTGCAGCGTTCGTTTACCGCTTAATTGGCGTTAGATTTAGTTTGGAAGCCACTAGAAACGGTTAACGGACTCTGCACATACATGCATATATTTGTATGTAAGTGTGTGAGAATATTTAAAAACAAATATCTTCTAGAGTTATTCACATACATATTAACTGTGTATTTTACCGCGATCTAGTTTAACATAATTAACCCTCAAGATAAAGATCACGCCAAGATTAATTTTAAGCTTCGGAAGCATAACTATTTGGTAAGTACCGATCTAACAATAAAAATATAAATGTGGTAATGTATACATACATACGCACGCTGTGTAAACATGTTTCTACATATGCATGTATGTATGTGCAGCGTTTTAGTTACCGCCCAAAAAAATTAACAAAAAAAAAGCGAATACTTGATTTGATTTTTTAAAATATTACAAAGTAATATTAATATTTTAAAAAATAAAATCAATCAAATGGATAATAATAACAATAAATTAGCATAAAACAATCCCTGGTGATACCGTAATATATGACTTGGAAAAACCCAAGTTAAGAAAAAAAATCTAATTTCAGATACAAATCGATTTTAATTTAATGTTCCCTGGAAAGGAAAGGCGCATTAGCTTCAAAATGGGAAGCGTTTAAGAAGGAAATACAACAGTACTATGCGTATAATATCCACAACGTGAACAGAAGGAAGCTGTTTATGAATTCCAAGAATACAGAGACTATTGGTAAATTACATTATGAAATATATTGTTTTATTTTTTAATTAAAATTCTTATTTTTGTCTTTCTTTTATTTCTTTTTCATCAGACTTTATTTTGACTATCCTGCTCCCCTCAATTTTACCGCCCAATACATGGTACTCTTCAAAAGCATCAAAAACCAGAACTCCCTGGAAAGTCTAGTCCTTCAAGTGAACTCCATTGCCGACTATCGCCAAAGGATTGCAGAATCTGTCGGTAAAAACTATTCGAATTTAAAAACAGTTCAACCGTGTATGTTTGTAAAAAGCCACAAAGCAAATACGTTCTTTGATAAACTATATAGGCCGTACTGTATATAAATTTTGCTTAAATAAAATGATTACAAAAAAAAAAATGTACAATGTTTTTCTTATGTTAATAAACGGTTTTGAATAATTTAAATGAATATACCCTGCATTTGATTTAAATATAATAAATATTTATATTTAAAACGCTAAATAATACATGTTATATAATTCATATTTAAACTAAATACTTTAATATTTAAATTCAGTGAAATTGTTATTAAAATTAAATATGAATTGCACTGTATTTAAGTTTGGAATATTTAATTTATAGATGTTTTATATTAACATTAAATACGATTATAAATCAAATTAAATATTTTAATATTTAAAACAAAGATGCACCGTATTTAACTTAAATTTATTTCATATTAATTTAAATACGGTTTATACTTAAATTAAATATTTTAATATTTAAAACAAACATGTTTCATTATTACTTCAAATACGATTTCTAGTTAAATTAAATGTTTTAATATTTAAAACAAATACGCATCGTATTTAATTTAACTATGAATTATGTTTAACTTAAATATGGACCAAATTTAAATTAAATATTAAAAATATTGAAAATTACTCTGTAAGTATTTAAATTAAAAACGAAAATCAAATTAATATGGTGCATATTTAAAGTAAATATAAACGGATTTGGATGAAAATCAAAGCGAAAAATATTTAAATTGAATACAAAATATTTAAATTTACTACTTTTTTTTTACCAGTGTACAGAGATTTTTAATGAAATAGCGACAAAAGCTACACAAACTTTTTAGTTGAACAATTTTTGAACGGATTCTATGATGTTTCGTTCGACGCTTTTTCGAAGCAAGAAAATAGTTTGAGTCTTGACAACAGCTCCAATTTTTGGATTTGGATTTTGGATGTTGAGGCGGGCTAGGCACACACTTAAGTTTTAACGATAATAATTTTCAGGGACCGTAATAATTATAAGTAATAATTAAAAAAAATCAAAAATAATAATTGCTCTATTTTGGGTTTTAATTAGTCTTGCCCAGAAATAATTATTAGTTTTGAGTTTTGTTATATTAGTTAATTATTTCAAAGCAAGACAAATATATATAAAATGTTCATAGAACTGCTACCTTAGTAATGTATTTTGTAAGCGTAACTTCAAATGTCGACTGTGATTCGGAATACTCGTTTATCGGAATAAAGCACTTCACCTTTTTTATTTGAAAGGGCGTTTCACTTTTACACAACTTAGGGAAAAACAAAATCATTGCAAAGACCGTTAATGCACACAGATACCTATATGCGACAGACAGACAATAGGCACTCGCACACAGTCGCCAGTTTTCCACGCCCCATATTGACAATGGGCGAGTCTGTTGCACCTGCAGGGCTCCAGGAGTCCTTTCTCCTTTCTCCTTGCTTTTCAACCGGCAGCTGCGTTGCACTTTTTGTTGGCCGCCTTCTGTGCTATAAACAAATAAAATTCCATCCACTGCCAACCATTCACATATATATTCACCCCACCTCGGCCGTGTTCCTCAGTGTTTGCCTAGACATTGCATTTTTACCTCCTATGCCGATTCACGCGCTGTTGCACAAAGCAAAGTCGGCGTTTCCTGCGCCACTCCCCCCTGTTTTCCACCTTCTGTCAAGGCTCAATTGCTAGGCTACGTTTCGCCGACTCCTCGAGTTTCCCATGCGAGGAGCGCCTGGCTGGAAAATGCGAGCTGCAAAATGCGGCGCGTCAAACAAATAGAAAAATGTTGCACGTGGCTGGGAAAATTAAAATAAATCAGAGCCAGCAGAGCAGCGCACTGGCTGGCTTAAAGACGTGCCAGAAGTTTAAACAGTGCATGCAGAGAAGGAAAATATTCGAGAAAAATGTGAGCTTGTAGCTATTTTAAATTCTTGAAGCCATTTAAGTTTATAACTCGTGACCCCTGATTGATTCTGCACCCCCGATTGAACTGGTTTATGTTTGTTTTTATGCCAGTTAGGCAAAATGGGCAAAGCATTTTAAACAGATTGAGGATAACTCAGTAAAAGACTTCTTGTTCTATCAAGACTAAAAGACAGATTCAAAATGTAATGTTTTCAGGCAATGGAAAGGTTTTTGAGAACACATCTACCACAAAGTTGAAGTCAGAATTTGTTTAAGTTTGTTTAAGGCAGCCATTAAGCGACAGCAACCGCAACGGAGGCGACGCTAAAGCGACCCTCAAATCCTGTTAACGAGACATCAGGAGACACAAAAACAACAGGGCATACACACCAGCACACACCCACACACACACCCACACACATGCCACGCACATCCGTCACAGCACAGACACAAACCCACCGCAGGCGCTAACTAGCGTGGACACAAACACGCAGGACCAACAAAAACAAAAACGAGGGAATAGTTTGAGCAGCCAAAGCGTTTCGGGGGATCGGGGGATTGGGGAGCTAAAACTGAAGAGTTTATAAAATTAACATCGTCATGACATCCCAGCAGACGCCGGCAGTGCACTCGGGTCCCCGTGCAGCCCATTCGGAATATCCTTTGAGCCCGTTGTCGCTGCTCCCGCATTGCATTTGCATGGAGATCTTCTACGGAGATGGCGATGGCGATGGAGATGGCTGATTTATGGGAGGGCGTGTGTCTGGGCGAGTGTTTACGTCTCGTGTCGTGTTGGCATTTGTCGTTACAAACTTAATTAATGCCATGTCGGGGAGGAGAGCGAGGCCCGCTCGGCTGTGAGCTCTTGACTTTTGTCGAGCCAGGCAAAAATGTGCAACCAGGACACGCTGTCAGTTTCAGCTGACGTTTGGTGTTTCGGCGAGTTTCCGAGTTCTGGTTCAGGAGCTGCTCAGCACCACCACCCCGCCCCAGAAATGTGCCGCAGATTAATAGGGAGCAGACTAGAATGGAAATATAATTTTGGAGCATTTGCAATCGTTATTTGGGGATTTTTGATGAAAGTCATCGCCTGGCAACGCCGCAATCCCTCGGCGAAATCCCTTCCAGCTTATGACAACTTCACTGGAGGGCAGGCCCACCTCCTCGGGTCTTAATTTCGGTAATGCCTATCTGCTTACCCGACTGACAGCCAGTTGTTATTGTTTACAGGACTCTCGTCAGGAGCCAGGAGTCCTGATTGTTTGCCCGGGCCCTGCCAAGCTCCTATCCACTTGTTTGCTATTTGACTTAATTTAATGAAAATGTTGCAACCTGCAATTTACAAAACTAACGCCAACAAAACTTGAGATTGTTTGCTCGCCCCCTCTTCGCCTTCTTGGGCCACTACAACGTCTTGGGTCTCCTGCAAGTGCTCCTGGGATGCGGGCTCAGTTCTAAGTACACATCGAGAACGAGAACGAGCACGCTGCCATCATTTTGCTGGATGGAGAAGTCAAACAAACGAATGCAAAAGGTTTTTAACTGCCTCAAGTAGTCGCAGAAGTAAAAATGTGCTAAAGTGGCAGAAGACGATGACGGCGGTGGTGGTGGTGGTGGTGGTGTTTGCCGAAGTCCTGGGCTGAAGTCTCTCGCCCATTATGGTGATTGCATCCGGGCTCTCCAGTTATATCATAGAAACTCTTAAGTCATCCATAAATCTGATCATTTCATTCCCTTCGTCTTTCAGTTCTCCACACTGGCTCTGCTGTACTGAACCCGGCCTGCATTGCTCTCATCTATGCGCAACTAATTTGCAATGATGAGTTATCAGAAAGGTAAGTCGCCAATCAGAGGATACATTCATTACCTTCCTGGCCGTGACACATGCCAAATTACTGGCCATCCATTAACTCAGGCCTAGCCCAGCAGGTCAATCGATTGGTAAAACATGTCGAATACATTTCGATGCCACATGTGTAACATTTTTTACGGCATTGGCCAAATCTCTGCCACAATACAATTTACAGTAAATCAGCTAAAAGCGAAATTACGCGGGTCATTCTCAGACAATTTGCTCGACGACGACAACAAAAGATAGGAATGCGTTCGAGCGTTAAGAAGGAACCGGAATGGAGACCCACGGACGAAAAAGTTGCAATTGATGCTGAGCCGGGTGGCTCAGTTCGATACAATCGAACAAAAGGAGACTGCTGCATATTTTCGGGGGTTGGTCGGTTGGTTGGCCAGTCTGCCAACTAATGAGCTTCCATGAATCGACATGAATTGGGGGCCCTATTGAGCCGCATTGAAAGCCCTTCCTGCTAGTTTCAAAATTAATTGCCACCAGTTCTGTGCTGGCTATGCCGGCTAAAAACGCGTCGGCTCAGTGGCTTAGGCGGTGCCCGGGCCTACAATGTTGGCAATCTGCTGCGCCGTTCAATTAACTTGTGCGACAATCCAATCAAAAGTGTATTAAAGGCCCGTTTACGGGCCCATCGCCATCGCCATCGTCATCGCCTACGCCATTCGCGATCCGGGATGCGGCCACGGGGCCATTTTGGAGAGCCAGCCGCTGTCGATAACAGCAATTACATAAATGTTTTTATGGCAGAGGTTTTGTGAAGCTGGGCGGCTGGGCGGTTCTGATCCGCCTATCGCGATGCAAAGTGCCGGAGCGCCAACAATCGGCTGACCAAATGCGATTTAATGGCGCCCGCTGAAACAGCTGCAGCTCAATGTGTCCGCAAGCAAAAAGTACTTTGCAATTAGGGCAGACACTTGCATTGTTGCGCATACGACATGTTGGCCGATGAGTATGTCCGCAGGAGGGAGTTATTATCAGGATTTGTAGCTCTTATCTCCTCTGAATTTTCCCCAGATATACGAGACCCATTCACATTCCCAGGCAACGCAATTCTAGTCCTTTGTCTAATTTATTTGGATACTTGTAATATTTAATAAAACGTTCAATCGGTCCTGGAGACACACACACACACACACACACACACTTGCCCGCCTGAGTTCAGACAATCAGAATTTTTATTTACATGGCTGGGTGAGGAGAAACGGAGAAACACGTGCCTTGCTGCCCCTCGACACGAACTACATAAACAAGCGAAAGCGAACGAGGAGAGTCCCCGCCCCCTTTCCGCCTTACTTAGTACCAAATCTGGGAGGGAGTCTGGAGAAAACTTTTCCAATTTTCCCCTTTTTATCGTAAATTACGCACGATTCAATATTTGGCCTTTTCACTGGCTTGTGTTTTGTCTCTGCGTCGTCTGCCTTTTTTCTGCCTGACTAGCTTCGAGAGTGGGTTCAAGGGGCGGATAACTGGGGGGTGGGGGGCTTGCCATTTCCCCCCACTTTGGCTTTGCTATTTTGCTATTTCTTCTGTGTCTCCCTATCGTAAATAAGAAATCTTATACGTGCGTAGGCCTCTCATGAGATACAGTTTAACCCTGCCCCCTTGCCGTCGAACACATTTTCTTTATGAATGAACCAAAAGTTAGTTTCACTTTTGTTCCTGAGCGGCCCGATCCCTCTAATCGAAATTGGCCACGGTTCACAAGTGTAATGATTGTTTTTCGATGCGGGGTAATTTATTTAGCATTATTTATAAGGATGTTAGAATAAGGGAGGGGGAAAGTTTTTCCTATTATTTATTGTTGGTCCAAGCACAGCATTATGCGAGAGTTGGATATTAGTAAGACTTTAGCGGGGGTGCTGGAGGTTATCCCCAATTGGTCAAGTGAAAAGTCAAACTAAGCTAATATGCGGCCTTCAAATAAAACTGCAATATTCTGTTTATTGCGAGATCGTCAAATGTATGTGATTGTTATTAAGTTAAGTTATTGTTATGTTAAGATGAGCGAATATAGAAATCCAGATAACTATGAGCGATCTCAGAATATGAGAACTTAACAACGCAACTCACTATTTAGTATAAAAAAAGGGCTTTAAATGGTGGAGAAGGCCAGAAACAGTTTGAAGTTTTGGTCCGAACATCTAGGGTATAGGGAGTTTATCTTTAATATGTAATGCATACTATTTGCGGTTCATGTATGTGGATAATTTGCACAGCAAAACTTGTCAATGCTCTGCCGCTGCTCTTTGGGTAATCATTAACCGTGGTAATCGCTGCTTTGGAATGACATATTTGTTAAGGTTTCCAAATTTTCATCCTTGCAGAGGGTTTTATTCTATTAATCAAAAAGCTTGCAAAGTTGTGAATGAGTCATTTCCGACCCTTAGAAGATATGTTTAATTTTTTATCAGCATAATAGAAGAGTGAATCTAGCCTTGTCCTTCTGTCTGTCCTTCAATCTAGCTGAATGAACTTAAGCAAAAGGCTTTTTTTCTTTTGCAGCCGATTAAGACGATGATCATTTTTATTTAATAGACTCTGAGATATAGAAATGGTTAACTATTTCAGAATTACAATTTTAAATTTATTAAAATCGGACTCTGATATCGTATTGCTGTCATAGAATCGATCGAGAAATTCATCGTTAAATCGACTTAGCTTGATTGTTTTGGAGAATAGGCGCCTAAAAATCGAGATATAGTCGTTGTCAATAGTTATTAATTTTTGTTACAACTATATAAAATTTTGCTATGTTTTCTTTGAAGAGATACATTTTTATCAGATCATAATTCTTTTGGGTAAATAAGGAAAGCTTAAATCTGCAAACCAGTCCTGAAGACATCATCTGCGAGTAGATGGACAGAAAAATAAGTCTTCCAAAAGATTTCCTTGGCTGCTGCATACAAAATCAGAGCATGACAACGGCCTCAACACGTTTATGAGGCGTTCGGTGAGCCTCTTTCCCCCGAAATGCCTCCTTTTGGTCAGGCCCCTAAACACACACACAGGCGCAGACACCAACACAAGCACAGGCAACCGCTTCGTCGGTGTGTGTCGCTGCTCTGCGCCCAATTGTATGCAACGGCTTTTGTGTCAAAATTTTTATGCCGTGCATGGCACGCAAACGTGTGCAAAAAAAGATAGAGCAGTGGGGTGGAGTGGAGTGGAGCGGAGTGGAGTGTAGTGAATAGTCAAACGTAGACCCGAAACTAGAGGAACAACAATGACAGGGGTAGTAAATTGAAAGCCCGAAGACACGGAATCGGTAGACCAGAAGGTGGGGGTAGGAGCCAGTACTAGACGACCGAACTGATTCAATTAAATCAGTCCAATTGAAGCGGCTGACGAAATGTGTGGAGAATGTGTGCATGGAATATTTAAGCTGCCACAAAGGCCATCGGCAGACAACGCACTTACTGTAACCTCAGGACGGGACTCTGTTTAAATTGCGGCTTAAAGCCAGCCCAGATCAGAGCAGGACGAACCTTCATCATTACTGCCGGCCAACTCTTGCAGCCAAATGTTACCGCCGAAAAAGTTGTCGCATCGCGATTTATACAAATAACTGAACACTTTGTTTGCGCCACACTTGCGCGCGTATTTTTTAATGTCCCGACACTTTTTGCCGCATGTTTGCAGCGGAATCAGCGAACCAAGAGCCCAACAACAGTCGTGCCTGGACTGGAGTTGGAGCTGGAGCTGGATCCCGTGACTTTTGTCGCGTATCGTATTAATATCTCAATTTATAGCAATTTATAAAAATATGAAAAACGCTCGAATGGTTGGAAAACTGTGCGCAGTGGCGGGCCACCCCGGAAATAAAATTTAAATGTGCCTTTTTGTAGTCGGCTCCCCATCCTCCACCCTCCATTCTCCATCCTCCGCATCCGCCCCACATTTGCATGGCCGCCAGTTGCGCCTAACGAAGCCCCCGGGGAGTGCAAGTGGAGGCTCCAGCTCTCTCCGTTTAAGTGAGGATTTGTGCTGGGCGGCTTTAAAAGAGATTCCAATGCAAATTGGTATATGCCTCAACTGGGAGGGCTTCTGGCATGGCATAGTTGCGAGAAGGGAAAACTTTTTAGCACCCAGGCATTGGGCTCTGTGTGAAAATCACTCAAAATTGTGTTTAACTAAGCGTAAAAATTATAAGCAAATTAATTTGCACAAATCACAACAACAGCAGGGCCAACAAGCCCAACAATAGTGGCTGTTCCTGCACCAGAAACTTTTATGAAACAATCAGGCAAAGGCAAAAGCTCTGTTCCGTCGTTCTCTGGGCCTGGTCTGGGTCTGTTCCATTGGCTCGTCCGGATCCTCTAGATCCCCTCCAGATCCCCTCCAGAGCCCCGGCCCGAAGCCACTGACGCGGCAGCAAAGGCAACCAAGGCGGAGCCCAGAGTGGGAATAACCGACAATTTATCTGCATAAAAGCGCAGTGTGCAACTTTGACGGGGATGTCTGATGTCCTGATGGGGCTTGATGGGTGTGGGCTTGGAAAACTTTGCCGGCTCTGCCGCTGGAAATTGTACTCCAGTCCATGGCCATGCGGGGGAAATGGGAGATTAAAGATTGAAACGGGACAGTTATAGGAAATATTTCAATTACTTTCTTAAATTACGCAAGACCCGAAGCAACCCCCGTTGTTACGGTTGACAAGTACAATTAAAACTTAGAATCAACAAAATTTCAAGAGCAACATAACTTAAACACCCCCAGTGAAATCATTGCCATCATTAATTTGCACACAACAAAGGCGCTGACTGGAAGTGTCCCTTGGAGTTCACGAAAGGGTCGGTCAGCCAAGGGGATGATTTGGCCTGGAGATTCCTTGGCCATTTTTAATTGACTGCAATCGGGAAGTATTTGCCACAGTTGCTGTTGCCTTTCCATTTACAAAAATCAACAATTAAACGGGCCAAAAAGGGTGAGGACTCACCCACTTGAGTCACATGTGCCCAGTACCACTGACGT